AGGGGCTTCTGTATAGATTATTTAGGTTAATCTTTCTATCTACCCAATGGGACTCAGTGCTCAGTCTAGAAAAGAGGTGGGCAAACTACGGCCCGCGGGACCCTCCTGCCCAGCCCCTGAGCTCCTGCCCTGGGGAGGCTAGCTCCCAGCCCCTCCCCGGCAGCCGGCGTAATGCTCTGGGCAGTGGGGCTGCAAGCTGCAGAGCCCGGCCTGACCCGGTGCTCTGTGCTGCACGGTGGCGTGGCTGGCTCCAGCCGGGCGGCACGGCTGCCTGTCCTGGCGCCATGGGCACTGCGGCTGTAACATCGCCACCCACTGATGCTCCAGGCAGCATGGTAAGGGGGCAGGGAACGGGGGGGTTGGATAGAGGGCAGGGGAGTTCGGGGTGGTGGTCGGGGGTGTGGATAGGGGTCGGGGTGGTCAGAGGGTGGGGAACAGGGGTGTTAAATGGGGGCAGGGGTCCTAGGGGGGCAGTCAGGGGACAGGGAACAGTGGGGGTTGGATGGGGCAGGAGTCCCGGGGGACCATCAGGGGTCGAGAAGGAGGAGGGGTCGGATAGGGGGTGGGGCCGGGCCACGCCTGGCTGTTTGGGGAGGCGCAGCCTCCACTAACCGGCCCTCCATACAATTTTGGAAACCCGATGCAGCCCTCAGGCCAAAAAGTTTGCCCGCCCCTGGTCTAGAAGATACCATCAGAGATGCTTCGTTTTGCGGTTCTCAAACTGTGGATTTGCGTCTCCAGAGATAACATGCTTGTTAACAGCACAAATATTTTTAAATAATTAAATATCATATATAGAGGTGAGAAATAACAGACCTCAGCCCTATTCTCCATCTGCAAATTTCTGTACACAGAGTCAATACCTCCCTCTAAAAGTGCAAAGTTTCAAAAAGTTCAATGAATAGAAGATTGTTGGGGATCTGGACAAGGAGAAGTAGTCTGGAGATAAATGTGAAAAGGGAGGGACAAGCAGTAGAAACAAAAGTGAAACTATTTGAGCAGGATATTCCAGAAGTCTTGAGGTCTTTCTGAGTGTAGCCTTTATTGATTTGAGATCTACCATACCATTCTCTCACTAGAATGGAAAACCTATAATGGCAGCAGGCCATAAAAGAGACCCAGTTTGGGAATATTTTAATGACGTTACTCTACCTGTGGGTAAGACAGGCATGCGTGCAAAATGCAAAAGAGTGCAACAAAGAAATGCAAGGCCTGGTTGCCCGAATGAAACATCATGAGAAGTATTCCTTCTCAGGAGGAAGCTGTGTTGAAGACGATGAAAGGAACATCACTTTAAAAATGTATAGTGTGTACCTCCTAAAAATGAAACCTAAATCTATCTCAGAGTTGTGAAGAATATGTATTAAGGTTATAACAACCAACAAGAATGCACTTTTATGCAGAAATCCATGATTAAATCGAGTCTTCCTGACTAGTGATTTAAAATCAAATTGATTTAAATCAAATCCACCCTGGTTCCATGGACTGAACACTGTCCTCTGATCGCAAACTGCTGCCACAAGTGTAACTTTCTTACCATGCAGCATGTTTTCACATTATTGGGTTTTAGTCTTACTTTGCAAAGCCTCACTGAAATCTAGGCTGCAAGCATTCCAATTAATAGGAGTTTATGCAGAAACAATATGTAGTGAAAATGCCTGTAATGCACAGAATACTTTTGTCACATGAGGTAACAACTATTTTATCCTTACGACACTCTTTACATATTTCTCACATTATGCTTATTAGCTAAAAAGTCTCACTGAAATAAATGATGGAATAATTGTTCATTTCAAATGATATAGTGCACAATACATAGTAAGAGCAAATACAATTAGTGGAACTACAAACGTGCCACATTACAAGATTAGGCACTAGAGCTGTAATATGTAATTTGGCAAGGATACCATATTTGCTAGGGTCATCAGAATGCTTTTTTGAAACTGTCCCAAAGCCTTAGCTGACTTCAGGGACTACCTCCTGAAGTTTGGTCTGTGGAATGGCAAAAACATCCTCATCTGAAACTTTAAGGAAGCAGGACTGCTTATAATGGGTCTTTTTAAAAACGAAATCACTTTAACTTCACTTTTCTGCATTTCCACAGCCTGCTTTAGGGCTCAACCCTGCATGGTATTGAGTGCTTTCAACTTCTTTTTAAGTCTATGGCAGTTGAACGAGATTAGCACTATACAGAAGATGTTTCTGCAGTACCAAGCCCCAAGTTTGCCTTTGCTTTCATCTGTGCATAGGGTTAAAGGGAACTACAGGGAGTGAAAGACCGACCCCCCTGTTATCTGTATGGATCAGCTCTACTAACTTTTAAGGAAAGCATAAAGGCTGGGGACAAGAGGTGGAAAACACAAACCAACCTATCCTACTACATAGTGGAGCTATCTTGTGCTGATGAAATACATTCAGGGTTCAGTACAGGAAAGGGTGGGGCCACATCACAGAGCCAACTATGGTTTCTTGATTCTCAAGCAGGATTCTCTTGGCATGAGTTAGAGTAGCCTGTAGTCTGCTCTAATTTACGATAGCTGGCTCTGATCTCAGCAGGTCTATAAACCTGCTGAGAAATGCCAGAGGGGAGCAAAGTGTTGCTGTGCTCCACTTCCTCCCTACCCCCATCAGAGTAGGGAAGAGTGAAACTGTTGGTGGAGTAGGAACTGGCTCTGCCATCTTTGCACCCGCTGTGAACTCCTCCAGTAGAAATTCCCAACTGGCCAGCTACAGTCATGTTACATCCACTTTGTTCCATTCAGGTGGTGAAAAGGGTGATGACCTAGGGCTGAGAACCTGGTCTCAGTATTTCTGTACATTATAACTTTGAAGAGAGTCTTAAAGTATTCCCTACTATTTCAGAAATCTCTTACCTTGAGATGCCTTTCCATTTGAGCAATACCTCTCAATTGCTTCTTTTATATTATGGTTACATTTGAGTAGTTCATAGAGTGCCTATGAAATTAAGGAAATATTTTTGTTTAAAACAAGTCATTTAAAGTTTGTAGCTAAGCAGTTTAAGGCACTGTGTCTAGCTTCAATGATCAAATTGCATATCAGTCAATTAATTTTTACATTAAAATTTCATAAACAAAATAAACAATTTAAACAAAGTTACGTACCACTTAATATACCACTTAAAATAAGGTTTCACAAGAAAATATAAGTGGATATCTAAAGCTTGATGTGAGTTATACTGAGAACTGTTTGTTAAGAACATAATCATATACACATGCTGCATCACAAACATTGATACTATAGACTCCAATCCTGCCAATCCTTATTCATGTGCTTAATTAAGTACTGGCAGGATCAGAGTCTTACTTTGCACTTCCTGTGGAAAAGAAATGTTTGACTATTTTGTTACCTGTTGCACATACGCATAAAGAGAATGCACACTAGTTCCAGGGCAATGTGTCACAAATGGATAGGATATAAAACATACTTGTTCACTGTCCCGTGTGTGTATTCCTTCAGGAATTCTTCCAATATTTTTTTCATTTCCAGTTCTTAACGAGGTCTCAAAAAGGTATTCTTTAACCTTAATCTCTGAAACCACCTCAGGTCTCCAAAGTAACTGATCATCATTTTCATACACTGTTAAGAGGAAAATCCATTGAGATACAAACAAGGTTGTGTGAGTGAGAGCATGCACACCTATCCTGGTGTTTTTGATACTGTAGACCAAATATCAGCAGATGTAAATTTATATGGCCCCACTGAATTTATATACTTTAGTTTCTGGCACAAATGTTTTAGAACTATGACATAAGAAATTAGCAGCTTCCCCAAAGATAGAAAACAAGAAAGTAGCTAGAGGTAATCAAATCAAACATATTGATAGCATCATGTCATATGCACAAATAATACCCCTTTCCATATACCTCACTGAAGAGATATGCCTTGCACTGTGCCACAAAGGTGAACAGATTCAGGCTATATTGGAACAAGGAGGGAAGGGACTGAATTCTAAGGACAAGGACCTGTCCAAAAAAAAAAAAAGGAAAAAAGAAAAATCTACTGGCCACTAGAGAATTCAAATCAAGAAATTTATGCATATTTATATATGACAAAGTTGGGTGTTTTATAAACTAGTGAATACAGTCACATCTCTGTTTGCTTAGAGTTGCACACAATCCTTGAAAACAGTAAAAAAGAATAAACCAATAAATGAGCAGTAAAAAATATGAATTCTAGCACTACATTTATTCCTCAGTCAGTTCAAACACTTTCCATGCTGGAAAAAAGCAAGTGACTAAGCAGTCACTGTCTTCAAAAAAACTTGTTGCTATATATTATTAGACGTGCTGATCTTGATGCTAATACTGGGATTTCTGGCGCAAATAGTCATCAACTACTAGAGTAAGGGACATACATGTTCTGTAATGAGTTTGGGTTGTGCATTTATACATCTTGTCAAATCACACTGGAAAAAAATCTAATATGTAAGTAAGTGGCTTTTATAAATATCTTCTATGTATATCAAACAACACGAGACAGGACTTGAACATTAATTATCGTTAGCAGCAAACATTCAAATTTCAATCCCTGCTATTAAAATATTTAGTATTACGAACAGACATTTTTGACATTACATTTAACATGTCATACAGTCTGCAGACAATGCAAAATTAGATAAATTATCTGATCCATGGCAGTCAAAGGAATCAAAGGCTGGTACAGGCCAAAAGAGTGAGGAAGATCTGCACCTCCTACAATGAGGAGGAATTAAAAAAACAACCCTTTTCACCTTATAAGATACTGTTGCTGCCCAAGAATAGAAGATGCTTTCACAAACAGTAACGTTACAAGACTGAATTTAGAGCTGTCCCAGGGAACACAAAGCCCAAGCCACCAGAATCACCGCTGCTTTTGTCACTGTTACCAAGGATGTACATTTCATGTACTTTTAATTTCTAAAATGAAATCTTAGGAAAGGTCAGGAGTTTTATTAAAAACAAAAAACCCATAACAAGACTACTGTAATATTACAGCTGTATAAACCTCTCAGCTGTTCTGGAAAGTCTAAGGATAGGGTGAAGGAGAGATGTCATTTTTTCTCTAAACAGCCAAACTACTTAGCACTATATTCAACTGTTTTAAGAAGGCTGTATTCCATCATTGTATTTAACTTTAAATTGTTAAAAGTGACTCCAGAAAGGAATAAAAACAGAGTTATAGACAAATGGCATAATGGAATCAGAAACACCACCAAAAGCACCCACAGGCTTGTGTTTGATTAGATTTGTTTTCTGATAGAATTTTACAGGTAAAAAAGGTCATTAAAAACAATTTTGAAAGTGTACAGAAAAAAATTAATACCATCCAGTTATTGATGCACTCTACAATCAGTTCCAAGATTTCCTGATGTATCTGGAAGTGAGGAAGTTTCAGTTTTAATACTTACCTTTTCTGAATCCTACAGCTATTTACCATCCAGAAAGTTGGGGCAGAAAGGTATTCAGATAAAAATCTCATCTGAACTGAATAAATCCACTCTTTTTTCCTACTGAAACTAATTTTTACCTTAATTTAGATAGAGACAGACTCATGCAACAAATGGAATAAAGAAAAGCACATTTATAGAATGATCACAGGATTTCTCTTTCCAAAACTACTTGGCCAGTAAAAGGAAATTATTTAGAACAGAGAGTTTGTTGCTTAATGTTTTTCTGCAGTAGTTTTGTATCCCACAAAGCTATGCCATTCTAAAGGCAATACAATAATATTCTTTGATTATGGCTGAAGTGCCTGACCTCTCTAAAAGAGAAGCAAAGATGCTCTTTCTGAAGGTCACTGAATAATTGACCTCATATTCAATTGCAGTTTGCATTTTCTGTGAGTAACAAACTCTTCCTGGAGCCATTTTATGATTTGGTCTAGTATTATTATCCTTCCGGTTTAATATTTGATTTTTCTTATTTCTCCTTTTCTATGAGAATTTTATACCCAAAGTTATTCATTAGAATTAAATATTATAATGAGATAATTTAGTTGCACTGTTTTGTCTTGGCTACTATTGTTATAATTTCTGAAGTCAATTTTTGATCCTCGTGATTTTTAAGTAATGTTTAATGTTTTTATATAACCAAGTAGAAGTAAAACAGAAGAACTTACCCTTTTCATCATCACTGTACTTGCCCAGGTAAGGTGGTATTTCAGCCTGATACTGCGAACCAACCATTATTTCCTGAAGGTTTAAAACAAAACAAAACAATCACACAAACACACTTTAACTTTCCACTCAAAGACATATGAGCATTACAAATGTCAATACAAGATGCATTTGATTCCACGATTAAAGCACTGTTTTAGATACAATTTGTTTTTATTTCAGATTCTTTTTTTATGTAAGAAAATTCCACTGAGATTTATTATATGGAAGTAATTAATACTTTAGTTACCTTCCTCAAATCTTCAGATGAATTACCAGTGTCTGCCTCAACATCTTCACCATCCGATTCCTTATCTCCATCATACGTAGTGTTTGCTTTATATGCACCAAAACAAAACAAAAACAAAAAAACAAAAACAAAAACAGTATTACTTAGCAGTATTTTACAGTTTGCACATAGAACTACAATTGCATCTGTTTTGTTTTACTTTAAAAAAACTAAACAAGAGCATCTGCTTTCATTTAGAGACAATGGTCTTCTTAATAATTTGCTTTTCTGTGGAACTGCAGCATAAAAGTTAAATAGTAGAAGGTACTATATCTGCAACTGAGTGCGTTAGAAATGGATAGCTGACTGTCAAAGGAAATAAGATAATTTGTCTCAAAGGCACTGCAAGTATAGGTCTGGGGAACAGCAACAGGAAGATACTAGTACTACAATTTATCTCCCAGTTGCCTTTCAGATTACTTTGCTGTGGTAATTGTTCTCTACACTGTCCATTTAAAATTCTGTTATCCAACTGTTTCAGGGACATTGAGCTAAACAAGTATTATCAATTTGGAAAGAAGTACGAGAGAAAATATGGTAGAGATGTAAAATAATGAATAGTAGATTAAAAGAAAGTTGATTGTGTGCTCCTCTTTACCCTTTCCTGTAAACGGACAAGAGGGCACTCCAAATAAAAGCCAAATTAATAACTGGGTATTTGTCAAGAAATTAACCCACCATATATTTTCTGTGATCACAACTCAGTTGAAAAGTATCAGATTCTATAGCTGAATCATCAGTAATGTCAACAAAAAATGATACTCTTAGAACATCCTGCAAAGTGCCAGTGTTCCTCAACTTCCAGTGAAATCAATGGTGTCAGTACCTCCCAGGATTGGGCCCTAATTTTGTAACTAGACAATCTTTCTATATATCTATACAGCGCTTAGAATGTTTTGGCACTACTATAGCATTAGTTTTCTTACATCTTAATGGTCGAGGAAAGAAGTCTGTAGCTTCATGTGAAGTAACTGATGGTGTCAAGTCATCAGCAGAAGACTGTGTTTCTTCATCATCACCTGACAAGAGGTCTTTAGCTATTTCCTCCTGTATCATTCAAGAAAGAAAATCAAAGAATTAGGACTAAGTATAGGTTGGTGAGCCTTTGAACTAGCAAGTTTGAGGTTCTATTAGCAAATACATTATCTAACTTTTAACCAAAATTTATTCTATTCTTCTACACTCCCCAAAAACTTAAACACAAAAAAATCAGAATTACATTCCTAAGATTTTTGAAGTATAGAAACCAAAACCAGTGTGAAAGTGGTTTTTTACCACTCACTCCAGAGCTGACTCTGAGGTTCTTCATCCTGACATCATTAAAACCCTTGGGAGGTGGGAGAGGGGGTTGGGACGGAGTTGCCTTCAGTGAAAAAGCCCACTGGGGATTGCCCCCAAACCTAAAGCAGCCTAGGGATCTTTGGAGACCCTGTGGCTGTGCATCAACTTGGCCCATCTGGAGTTTCCCCTAGTCCTAGCATCACAGCTCCACTGGAGCTGCACTACCAGAAACTGATCACTAACCATGTCGTCCCCCAGAACTCTCTGGAAGAATTAATACAGCCCAGACCCATATTTCTTTTTCTTAGGGTTCTCTGCAGGACTGCACAAAGGATGATGTGAATCCTGTTGTCCTGCCCCACTCAGTCTCCTTAACAGTGAACAGCAACTTCTACAGAGTTTGTAGATGCGTCTGAGCCTCCCTCTTCCACACAGAGAAGTTGGAGAGGAAGAACTGCATGTGGATATGCATCAGGTAACAATCCAGACCACATTTTTTGTAACCACACGGTAACACTGAAATGTGCATCCTAATTGGACTCTAAAATGCACAGCAGTCAGTTTAAACGTTCAGGAGAACTGAGAAAACCATCTCCAAGGGTCACAATTTAAAACACTGAAGTTTCAGGTTTTATACCAGTTGCATAATACACCCAGTCTCTGCATAAATGACAGTTTCTCTCTCACCTCCACATATCTAATACTTTTCTTATCCAGTTGAAGGGAACACTCCAAAGTATTCAGGAGCAAGTTTTCAAATTAACTATATATCCACAGAAATTTTGATACACTGTATATATAGTTGAAGTCATAAATATTAGTCCCCAGCTTCACACACACACACTACTGAAAGTTCCAAATTTAACTTTTTAAAAAGTGATATTAAACAAAATAAAACTATAAGTCTTTAACATTACAAATGACTCAAGAACTTCTACTTTCTTTTATACTCGTGTAGCATCAACAACTTTAATGAAATTGTGCCTCATTTACAAATGTACTGTAAATAAGTAAAATCGGAGTCAGATTCTCAATGTCCATTAAGAAGACTAATGTGGATACTTTGCATTCAGACTAATAGGTGTCAATAACTTTTGTATTACCAAGAGAACGACAAAAATCACACAGGTTCCTAGCTTTAAACTTAAATACAGAGAAAAATGTTTTTGACTTACTTTGTCCAGAGTCATATCTGGAAGTTCATCCGCAAGTTCACTTGGGGAGCTATCTGCACTGGAACCTGCTATAACTGGAATTGTAGGTTCATAGCCATAGAAAGCCAGTAAATCTTCTAAAGGCATGCTTCCTTCCTAATATAAGAACAGTTATAAATATTTAACATTTTAATATTGTCAAATACTACATATTGTTATACAAGCATAAGGGGACAAGATTAATTTTGAAATCGTTTAATAGTGAATTTAAAAGGATTATAACTCTCCAATTCCAAAGAGAAGAATAGTGTCTTTTTAGAAAAAAATTGAATACGTATTTCAAATTTTTTTAAACACACGGCTCAATTTGGCTCATAATCATGTATTTAAGGCACTTTCAAAATCTGTTTCAAATTTCTCTGAAAATTATTTACTGGATATATACAAGAGAAGGCTTAGAAGTAAATATTAACTGAATATAAAAACAATTTCTAATCATTTGATCCAGTGTAAAGTATGATTGACTAACATTTCTTTATGATAACAGATATATTAAAAAAAATATGAAATAGTGAAGCAGGAAGCAACCATATTATCAACTTGAAGACTTACAACGTGGCAAGATGTTATAATCACAGCTGCAGCCAGAGACACAAAAAGAAGCCAGCAACAGATTTTCACAGCAATTGTTAGTTTTTGCTTCTACCCACCCCCAAAAATACTTTTTATACTGACTTCCCAGTTTTTTTGCTTTGGGGAAGTAAGGAGGAGGAGAAAATAGGGAGACTGACAAAGAGGGTAAGCTGAGGAAGAACTGGGGAGGGCAACTGCATACCAGCAGCTTTTGATAATCCCGTCTTGTTACATGTCATCAGGCTGTATTTCCTATTGCAATTAATAATGTGGCAATTCCCAGGCATTAGTCAGTTGCCTGATTCATATCAATGGAGATACTTGAAAATATTTTCAAGTACTTATAAACATTGTTTTAAAATCCTTGTTGAACTCACATTCTGATTAAGTGATTTTTTTTTCTTGCAGTCATCTAAGGGCCCCAGCAAAGACTTCTCACAGTGAGTACAGTTAAGCACGTGCTTAAATCTTTGCAGGATTGTGACCTAAAACAATATATCCTTTAATTTATTGGCACTGATTCTCTCTCTTCCAAAATAGCAGCAAATAGGTAATTTTGTGGAGTTTACCAAGTGTAGTTTTTAAAACCATGTTATTTCTGATTTACAACTGCATGTATGAAACCTACAACAAAAATTGGTAATTTCTAAAGGGTAGAATTGGTGGTATGGAAGCCTACCAATATGCAGTGTTGTCCCACATACAGCAAATACAAACTTACACTATTAAACATATACAGCCAATTTCAGATCTGGTGTTACCAGGTGCATCTCCCTGGAAATCTCTGGACCAAATTCTGCAGCTATGTGAATGGTGCTATAAGCAGCTCAGCAAACAGCAGTATAACTATCATTAATTTGGCATTCAGTGGATGTGCAAAATGGGTGACACACAGACAAGGATGAAGATGGGGTGTAACAGGAAAAGCAACTAACAGAAGAGTGTAAAATACAGCAGGAGGGGGCCAAGTTATTTTGCACATTTACAGAATGGCAAATTGATGCAAGCTAAACTCACTTACACCCATTTTCTGCCTCAGAACCACCATTAATTTGGCCCATCATACTTAAACAAGGCTATGGAATAAAGCAATTGATGGTAAGAATGAAATTATGGCCATGATAAAATAGTTCATACTGTGCTTAATCAATATTCTGATTTGAAGTGAAGCTAGTCCTCATTAAATACTATTTGTGGTGTATGATTTTAATATATTTCCCACTTAATAAAAACAAGAACTGATACAGTGGTATCAAATACTTATAAACACAAGACAAACTTGTTCCATGGGAGAGTAATTTCTCTTCCAAAGCAAAAGCACTATTGTCATATTAATTAGAAGGGAAGTACTTTAAATTAACACAGCTCTGAAATCTTTGGAACTGATCAACTGAGTTCTGTGGTAACTTCCAACTGAAGATCCACCCACATATATCCAATAGCTAAATCTGACTATTTTATATTGGCTGCAAAGGCATTTACTATTGTTTCTATGGAATTTACTTAAACAAGATAAATGAAAGAGAAGGTAGAATGTCCTTTGTATTTACTAAAGTAAGTACAGTGTAGCTGTATGATTAGGAAAAGAAGGTAAAAGCCCCTCTCCTACCTTTTCTAAATCTTCAATTTCAGAGTTGAAGTTTTTGCCCTCCTCCATCATTTCCTCCTCTTCAAGAGTTCTCTCATCATCATAGTCATGTACCAACATTTCAGCAGTAGGGTCAAAATCATGATCCTCAGAAGATAAAGAACCAACTACAAGAAAAACAATATGAATCACTTTACCAACATACAAAGCCATACTATAATCAAAATAAGATTGTGTGCATTCTTTTAAATGAAAGGTCAATATTCTCTAGATACACCTCTACCACGATATAACGTGACCCGATATAACACAAATTCGGATATAACGTGGTAAAGCAGCACTCCGGGGGGGCAGGGCTGCGCGCTCCGGAGGATCAAAGCAAGTTCGATATAATGCGGTTTCACCTATAACACGGTAAGATTTTTTTGGCTCCCAGGGACAGCGTCATATCGGGGTAGAGGTGTATAGAGTAAGAAACAAGTTTTAAAGTGGCTTTAACTGGGCCTCCATTTTTGTATCTGTAAACTGTAGGTGCAATTTTGTGCTCTGCAATTTGAGCCACTTGGTGATCTAAAGAGATTACGTTGAAAGTGATCAAATTAGGTCATTTTCAGAAAGTCTAGTCATATCTACACATTTTACTGTGTATAAGATAAGAACCACGAGATTCTTAAAAAACATGTCCAAAACGAGCATAACAATGTAAAATATAGTTCTGACACAAGGTCTTAGATTTGATGCTGTAACTAGAAGCAATATGTCGCTTGTGGAGCCTGTCTTTGACAAGAGACTAGCATATTTTTTCACTGAATAGAATAGCCAGCCTAGCTTCAAAGCTGTTCTGATTAATCAACTTTCTTCTAATAGCAAAATAAGAATTGAGCACCTATGTCAGAAGAATTTAGTCCCATGAATGAGATGTTTCATTAAAATTCAATTGCATTCTATGTAGTTTATTCAGAATGGAGGAACAAACTCCACTGGAGTTCTAATTCTCAAATAAGATACACGAAAGATACAGAACAAGAAACAGACTACATTCATTTATTAATTTCTTTGGAATATAATGTAAGTGGCAACTATCTGGCCCAACAGAAATTGCTACATTATCTAGGTGGCTACCTACAGTCCTTTTGTGTTA